ACATTTCTACCCGCTGAGGAAGACCAGAGGTATTCCCCCCATTACCCCTCCTACTCTCCCATCAGAGGTTCCTACTGAACCCCGTTCAGGCTGTGCTGCCTGGCCCAGCCCCTCTGGAGAGAGGCCTGTTTTCAAGTCAGCTCTCCTGGACCCACCTTTTTCCACAGAGATGTAGAGCTGGGGGGTTGTCTCCAGGCACATGACACCGGCCAGAGGGTGGAATCTGGGCAGTACTTTGCCCCCCTGGTTGCCTCTCCCGGGGCAGAAATGAGGTGCTCACAGTCCTAATTCTGTGTTGGCATTGCAGGAAGTGTGGACACCTTGGGGACTGTACCAGGCTGTAGTGTCCTAAGGGAAGGAGACGTGAGTCCCCCTGAGAAGTGTTCTGAGGAGTCTTTCAGAGCGGATGGAGTTCAGCCACATGAGAAGCCACGATATTCCCAGGCACCCCGGGAATGTGGTTATCGCTGCTGCTGCACTTCAGGAGTCCCTGAACCCACCGCACGATCAATAAGTGGCAGTAGTGTTAGCTCAGGTCGGCTCCATTCCTTCATCAGGGTTTCCTCATTGTATGTATTCTGTCCATCTGCGTCTGTAGCCACAGTGATATCTGCGTCTTTACGTCCATGTCTACACGTGTAGCTACAGCTATAGCTGTGTCCTTATCTGTAGCTATGTCCACACCTGTGTTAGTCTCCTGGGGCTGCCGGAACAAATCCCACAAACTGGGTGGCTTAAAACAACAAATCGATTCTCTCTCAGTCCTGGAGGTCAGAAGTCCAAAATCAAGGTGTCGACTCCTGAGAGCTCTGGGGGAGAATTCCTTGTTTCTCGTTTCTCACAGCTCGGCATTTCTTGGCTTCAACCTCTGCCTCTGTCTTCACATAGCCTTCCCCTTTTCTCTGTGTCTTTTCTGTCTCATCATGACACGTCACTGGATTTAGGGCCCAGTTGAATTATCCAGGATGACCTCATCTGAGATCCTTAATTACATTTGCAAAGATCTTTTTTCCAAATGAGGTCACAATTGCAGTTGCCAGGAGTTGGGTTAGGATGTGAACATACATACTCATTTTGGGGGGGGAGGGGTCCACCATTAAGCCCACTATCATAAATACCCCTATGTTTATATCTACATCTGTATCCTTATCTATATATCCAAATACACACCTATCCGTATCTCTAACCCTCTCTCTAACTGATCCTCCTCGTCCACACCTACATCTGTGTCCTTATCTATATACCTGTCCATATCTGCATTTGAATCTATGTCCTTACATTTATATCACTATGGAATAGGTTATAAGTATACAACCAAATAACAATGGGAGTTATCTTCTGGTTGAAGAATCCTAGGTGATTTTAATTTTTTATGATTTTATATTTATCCAAATTTTCTCAATGAGCATATATTACTTTTGTAACAACAACTAAGAAATCTACTATATTGAGGAATATAGGAAAGCCTTCACTGTGTCTAAAACTGACCTTTTTCTCTCAAGCCTTCTCTCCCATCTCAGGGGTGGCTGCCCCATCCTCTCTGTCACCCAGGGCATCGTCCCGGCCTTGTCCTGGCCCCTTTCCCCTCCTTCCCTGCCATACAGCTCTCCAAGCAGTGGCCCTCCCATCTAACCCACGTTTGCCCAGGTGGGGCTCAGGCTGTGTCACCTGGCCAAGGTTTCCTTTCCAGATTGAGGGTTGGTGTTACCCATGCCCTGTTCTAGGCAATTCCATGGCCCCTGGTGTTCTCAGGATAAACCCTTAGCACAGCCCACCGGCACAGTCTGGCCCCACCTTGCCACAAACCCTTCACCCCAATTAAAGCTAAATTCAAGAATTGGGGCTTTATACATCTCTATAGATCACTTTATTTTTAGGCTTAAAAAATGCTCTGCACTGTATGCTCTGTGTATAATCATGCATTTGGATATAAATATCACATATGGGGAGGGGAGAGATACGTGGAATCCATACAATTAAAAATGCAACCAAACTGAACATTGAAAAATGGTACATGGTAGCTGGAGAGATGAATGAGGGCAAAAGCTAAATTTGAGGTAACAGCAGTGGCCCAACACCACTGACCTGAAGTACCTGTAAAAATTCAAAGAAGTGTTTGGAGATTCAAGTAACAAACCATCTGCCCCGTCTTAGTCAGACTTCCCAGGGTCCCTGCTGAGTGTCAGCCCTGAGCCAGCACTCCCACAGCTCCTTGTAAATCCTCTTCCTCATTCGGGCTCTGTCTTCTGGTGAAAATGAAAAGGCGGCTGTCAAGTGAGGCACTTGCAGTACTTGGAGCACAGACTCCACAGTCATTGTCATTTTTCTGCTGTGGAATGTGCTTCATGACAGCAGTCTACCAACCCTGAAGAAGTTCAGGCCTGTGTTTCCCACTGGCTTCAGGCAGCAAATATTCCTTATATTCTCTACACAAAATTTAAAATAAATGCCTTGGGAATCAAAATAATTCGATTAGTGTCACAGTCATGAGAGACCATGGGCTTCCAGGTGAATTGAATCAACAGAAGACTTTTTAAACAAATACACCTTTTTAGTTGCTCTTCTTCCATTGTATCCTTTGATTACCAGCTGTCTGAAAAAAGTTGTTCACAGAAGATTCACAAATTTGCATTAGAATGACCTCACAGCTGTGGCCTATCATCAGAACTCATTTATCTCTATCTCTATACATCTTTATTCAAGCCAACATCTTCCCACAATTTATTATACTATTTAAAAAGTATCTTTCCCTTCACAAAATATAGTACTTGCTCAGTACAGATGCCCTAGAAGACAGAAAGACACTGCTCAGTTGTCTCCAAAGACGGCTGCTACCAAGTCCTGTGCCTGTAATGCATGTCACTCCTCCCACCACTGGGGGCAGTGTTCCCCCTCCATGACTCTGGGCAGGCCTTGTGACTTGTTTTTACCAATAGAATGCAATGGAAACAATGCTGTGTCAATTTCAGGCCTAGGACTTACCAGGCCTGGCAGCTCCCCTTTTTGCTCTCTTGGAAATCAGCTGCCATTTTGCAAGGAAGCTTAAGCTTCACTTCTTCTCTCTGCCCAGCCCTTCTCTGTCCCCCAGCCCCTAATGGCCACTCTGCCCCTGCAGTGACCAGATGGGGAACAAAGCCTCCTACATCCACCTCCGGGGCTCCGACCTGCGGCCTCAGTTCCACCAGTTCACAGCAGTGGTGAGTCACCCCGCGGGTGCCCGCTCCCCAGCCTGGGCCTGGGCAGCAAAGAGCTGAGAGACCTGGTCAGAAGGGCGGGGTCACAGTGCATGACAGCTGGGGGGACGGTCTGCCATCTGCATCCTGCTGCTCACAGACTCCCCTGAACCTGCTGTATCTCTGTCTGCCTCTGTCCCGTGTGCATCTGGTTCACAGCCTCATCCCGACGTCAAGCCCATGGCCTATGCCAGCACGCTACTGCAGCTAGGGATGATGTGAGGCCGGCGCACCAGGGTCCCCGCTCCTCGCCCGACTCCAGGCCTGGCCCAGGGCAACGTTGGACCCCCTTTTACTTTGTAAAATTTGTATTTATTCCCCTTTAGGTTTGCAGAGGGGGCGGGGGGCTGCCCAGAGGGTCTGCTCCCCGGACAAAGAAGAAGGAGGTGGAGAGGCTGGGGTCAGGGCACTATCCGGGCATTTCGGAGGGAGGTCAGCCATGGGTGGGGCGGGGCCCAGAGGCTTCCACGCCCCCCTCATTTGCATGGCCCCTCCCCTGCTAAAGCAATAGGGCCCCACCATAGGAAGACCCCAAAGGAGGGTCATCAGGGAGGCCTCGCCTGCACCCCCCTCCTGGCAGCCCCAGGGTGGGGCTAGGCTGGGGCTCACCCCCTTCCCCAGCTATTTTATGTCTGTAATTAAATGTTAAAATAAAGTCATTATTGTAAGTCAGCTTGTCTCGGATGGTGGAGCTGCTGGGATTGGGGTGGCCACTTCATTAGGAGATCCAGAGGGCGGGGGAACCACGAAGTCCCACCCCCCTCATCTCTCATCTCTGGGGCGCCCTGGAGCTGGCCGGCCAGGCTGGGGCGGACCAGCCAGGCAGCCCCTGTGTCTGCGGGTCACAGCGGGCTGCTGAGGGAGA